TTCATTACATGAAATGTTTTTCAATAGTCGTTTATGCTTGCATGTACAATAATGATCGCAAAGGATTTGCAAGTAAAATTATTCAAGTATTTTTACGACAGCTCATCAACGCCATAACTAATTACTGCGTACCATGCACCACTTAACTAAAAGGTAGTTTTTCTATTTAACGTGGCCAATTATCGAAAAAACCTCATCAGATATCATGGAAAATTGGTCGGAAAGGTGTTTGTGTGATTTTTATCTAGCTGAAGTTCAAAGATAGTTTCGTCTGTGGTCAAAACTAGGTTACACAGCCCAAGTATGGATAAACCTTGCTAACACTGACTATAGAGGAGTATTACTGTTAAGGTCCAGACATCCTTTGGAAATTAGTCAGAAAGGTTGTTTAGATAGATGTTTCTAGGTTCATGTTTTGCAATATTGTTCATCTGGGATCAAAAACTAGGTCACACAACCCAAATTATGGAAAAGTATTGTTTACATTCTAGAAGTTATATTTTCATCCAAACATCCTGAAAATTTGTCAAAAGTTTGTTTTTGATGTTTTTCTAGCTCAGCATTGAACATTGGTCATCTATGGTCAAAATCTAGTTCACACAGACCAAAAATGAAAAAAAAAAATTTAGCCTAAAAATATCCTGGACATTTGGTCAGAAAGGTTGTTTGAATGATTTTCAAGTCAGGTTTGGATATGGGTCATCTGAGGTCAAAACATGTCACAGCCACATAAAAAGGCATGTATTGAAAAAAAACCTTTATTTTACAAGATATGAATGTTATGATATCTGTTTATATATGGCATTATATCTGCCTTTGCATTCATTGCTAACAATATTAATTTGGAGGAGCCTCAATAATCTTGTGAGCGATATAAGTGATATTTTTCCTGCCACATTTGAACACTTTACACACTTTTACAGTTAAACACACACAGTTGGTATAGAAATGTCTACTCTGTATTTGTGTATATAAACAACAGGCATGGAATTTTTAATTCAGGGGAGGCTACTTGCTTATTTTTTCCAAACATTTGCTAGAATATTTTTTTTTTTTTTTAATGTACAGTGTTTTTTTTAAAAAAAAGCAACAACAACAACTGTTTACTGTCTTAACTATCTGCATATTGGTGTTTTTATGTAAAGTTTCTTTATTTTATGTAAAATCTAGTCTTTTTTAAAATGAATTTCCATTAAAATTTTCATAAGGCGAAATGCACTGTATTTGACTTTTAACATAATTAATTTTTTTTTATTGATTTCAAAGAAAAGAGTTCTATTGTTTTAAGTATTTATTCTATTCAAGTCAATTTTCTGTATTGAAATTAATTGTATAATGCCTATATTAATACATTACACGAGGAAATGAATTCTGGTAATGTTTAAAAAATATTATATTGTGTAGAGGGTTTTGATACTTTTTTCTTGTTAATGTTAATGCAATTGAAACAAAAAGTTTCATTAATTTTGTTTCCTTTTCTTAAGAGCATTTTTATTGTTGTCTTACTTTGTTTGTTGAATAGACTTTTTTTATTCAATATTATATACAGAAAATGATGTATGAAACATGAAATGTGCTCTTAGATTTAAACTTCATTGTATATATTTATATATTTATATATTAATGACAATTCAATACATATGTATATTCATTCTCTAAATAAATGATAGAAAATATTAAATATTTAAATAATCATTTTTATGTTTTTGTTGTTTTTAGCTCACAAGATTGACTTTAAACCACTTGTCCCTCACCGCTTTTGGTTTTAATCCTGACAGTGACTGATTCCTTCATGTGAGGAAGCTATCCAGCTGACTTTCGGAACGTCGGTGATTCTACTCAGGGGCCCGTTTGCCGAAAAAATTGACGGAGGGCACTGAGGTTTTCACCCTTTAAAACTGGGAAATTGTATCTTAACGTGTCGTGTGATTTAAAAAATAAAAAAGAAAAAAATCACAGATATCTTAAGACCATTATTTCTTTTTTTATGTAATTGTTTGTGCTAAAAAATCTAGTAACAAAAAATAAAAATTATTTTAAAAAATACTGTGTCAGGAAAAATTTGTTTCATTTTTTGCCTGACAGTGATTTTTTTACTTTCGAGTATTCCCCAGGGGGTTTTTTCTAAAATGTGATAAAATTTTTAGTCTCCAAAATTTTTAAAAATCCTGGTTGTTTCCTTGGGGGGTGAATTTTTTTTTTGGCATTGATCTTTTAAACCTATTCTTGTGCTTTTTTTGTCACTTCACTTAAATTAAAAGGTCAATCACAGCGGAAAAATCGGTTATTGGTTGTTAGTTATCTAGGAATGATGTTAAGGTGAACTGCTGCCGATTTTAAAACTGTGTTAAAATGAACTTAAAAGCACTAATGCTTATTCTAAAACCGTTCTTTCTGAAAGAGATATTGTGAACAGTCATATTTCTAGTATTTCTAACTTTTAAGTACGTGTTGATGAGAAAGAGCTTAAACTTCCTATCATGTACTGGATTCCAAAATTACATAAACATCCATATAAAGCCCGCTTCATTGCTAAATCTACATCTTTTACTGCCAGTAATCTTTCTATTTTATTGACTTCCTGCCTTACTGCCATCAAGGCACATGTCATTAGATACTGTGAAACAGTTTATGAAAATACGGACAAAAATCTTTTTTGGTCTGTTAAAAATTCAACTGAAATTTTAGATAAGTTTAAAGTTAAGAATTATCAAGCTTCATCTGTAAGTACTTACAATTTATCTACCCTATATACAACATATTTTAGTAAGTTTTACCATCGTAATTCAGATTTAGTTTTAAAAGTTAATTGTAATTTGAAAACCCCTTTACGACAAGGAATTAGCAAGCCTGATTTCTATGGAGATGTGGTTTACAAACTTCCTAAGATCACGGGTCATAGTAATTTTTCTGCCATCTTCTCTAAAATTATCAAACGGTTTATTAAAAGAGGTTATGACCCAATTATTTTAAGGCATACCGCATGCTTGGTGTTCAACCCTTTTACAGTTGGACGCTACGCTTTCCTCTTTTGATTACATCTGACGGACTAAGTGGGAGACCCTATGATGGACAGTTCTTAAAGCCTTTTGGGACTGAATTGTCTTTATGTTCGTCTCCTGTCTTGCTTCGTCGGGCCCTTGTAGGTGATTTTTTGTTGCTCTGCCTTCTTTTAAGGCATCGAGTAGTTTGGTAATGATCATTAGGCTGTACCTTTTTCTACATATTTACATAATTTTGTATGTGTTTTATTTATTTCGTCTAAAGTAACAATGACCATTGTTAGAATTTCACTTGGCGGGAATTAATTTTATTTAGACTTTTAAGTCGTCCAGGAAAATATTGGGGCCAAGAGTGAGGTTTGGCGCGCCTAAAACCGGTTTAAAATCCCCAGTGGTTTAACTATCACTGACCGTTCCAAGGCGGTACCTCTCTGCGTTCCTTCACGTGTTTTTCATGTCTGTGTTGTTACTTGTTTTTGAATGTTTACATGTTTTGTGATGTCTGCCTTGTTGAATTGTCGTTTACGGTAGGTATTTTCTCACACACCCTCCCATTTTTTAACCCCCTCCCTTTTTCACCCTTACAGCCCTTATCCCTTTAATTCCCATATGGGCCCGTTTAAGTTTATATTATTTCGCACATTACATGTCCCTCTCCTTTCACCGCCCTTATGTCCACTCCAGGTTTTGGTTTGGTGCCATCTGGGTGCCCTACTTTGGTGTGTCGGGGGGTGCGTCCTGTGAACGTAGCCTTTGCCTTGTTGATCTTTATTCTTGTCTTAAAATCTGCGTTTATAACAATCACGCAAATCATAAACCTATGACTGAAGAACCTCTCATTATTGATAAGACAGATATTTCATATCAAGCTGTGACCTTGGTATTTGACATAATGTAAAATCTGCGTACAAACGGGAAATGTTCTTTTTATACATATCAAATGTTCATTTCTTCTAAAGTTACTGACTGGAAACATATTTCACAGTATAACTATGACATTGACTTTTGACATAATATCCACAAAATGAATAGAGGTCATCTCCTGGCTAAGGGCAATGTCCATTTTAAGTTTCTCAAACTCGGGTTTCCTATGCACCCTCCATTTAAGAAGTAAACGTATTTTGTGACAAACGACGTAGGTCACCTCTTTTTATATATGTCTCCAAAAATGATGGCATATCAATTTTTTAGCATCGGTCTTTCCGCCTGTCCCGCTGTCCTTTCGTCTGAACTGTGTGCAGTCCATAACTTCTTCATTTATGGATTGATTTTAAAAATCATTTTGTATAAATGTGTAGCACTTTTGGGCAATGTGTGATGTCCGACATCTAGATTTGAAGCGGAAAGGTTACAGTCATACTCTGACTTTAAAGGAATTTGAATAATCGTGTCTGATCAACTATTCTGTCATTGGTAGATGGAGTTAAGAGATATGCATAAATGTGTTTGACATAATGACAATGTAAAGAGCGCAAAAATAAAGACCAAGGTCACACATACTGATCAAAAATCATGCTTTGATTTTTTATAAAAGTAGACTGATCTTTGTGTTGGATCAACAAGTCTGTCACACCAAGATGGATGGATTTAAAATTATTTTGCATAAATGTGTTTGGCAACATGACAATGTGTTGTGCACAAGAATTAGGTCCCTAACTCAAAGGTCAAGGTCTCACTTTACTCCAAACTCATGAGATTTTTTTTATTAAAGTGCATTGATGGTTGTATACGCTCAACAATTCTGCCAATCCTGGATGGATTTTAAAATATTTTGGCATAAATGTGTAAGACATGATTGGGGTAAAGTATATAATCCAAAGGTAAGGTCACGCTTATATAGTATATATCAAAATTGAGGATTGTGAATCACTCGGCCGTTTTGCACCTTCATGCAACCTCTGGATAGATGTATCAGCGAGCTCCCTCACGTGTAACCTAGATTGATCATCGGGCGGTCAATAAGGGTTAAATTGTGATTCAGTTAAAAGTTAAACAATAGACATGTATATATAATATATATTTAAATATTTTTAAAGTATAATTCGAGGGTTCAAAGGTAAAAGGTTATAACTGCCATTTTTGCTGAAATCGACCTTTTATGTTTTTTATAATGTACTTATTGTCCTTTATGTTTGGCGAAAATATTATACAAATATTCAATCCTTATAAGGGCAAAACATTAAAAAGTATTTTGTAATAACTTCTTTTCTACAAATTATGTAGGGGTAAAAGGTTCTAAGTGTACTTATTACCTGTTGTTTACTTGTTGTTCCCCTTGTTGTGAAGAATCTGTAGTGGAAAAAGGTTATAACTGATTTTATCACCTTTTTCCTCTGACAGAATACTGCATTCATACAGTTCACAGGCACTATCTGTTATTTCTTTCCCCAAGACATTTATCTTGTTGATTTGAATGCAATGAGAATATAACCGAAGATGAAAGACAGAAAATATTAAGTACATACTGGTCAATGGGTGATTACAAAAGTCAGAGGCAAAGTTTATTTGTTTCCATGTTGCCAATAAAGAACCAGAGAAGGTATCTAAACAGAGAAGAAAACAAAGAACTATTTCAAATTCGTTTTTCTTCACAGTTGGTGGCAAAATGGTTAGAGTGTGCAATGACTTTTTCTAAAAACTCTCAATGTCGGTTCCAAAACAGTTGCAAACGCAGTTAAGCACAAAGTGGCAGGGTTATATGTTGGAAATGACAAGAAAGGGAAAGCTGTGCCTGGAAATAAAACAAAGAAATATCACAGATCATTTGTAAAGAAACACATCATTGTATGTAGAAAAATGCAAAGGACAAAATAGAAGGTGTGTTTCAGAGGCTGTGTACAGAAACATTTTCTGTACAGAATATAACTTGTCTTTCTTCCTTCCTAAGAAAGATCAATGTAAACTCTGCAATCTGTATGACACTTTGAGAATAGAAGCTAGACTAGGTGAGGCAACAAAAGCAAAATGTCAGGCACACCAAAAAAGAAAAAACAATGCTAGAATGGAAAAATCAGCCGATAAAGAACGGGCAAAGAAAGATCCAAAGTTTTCTGCGTCGGCATTTGATATCAAGGGCTGTATCGTCAAACACCATGCAGTTTAATTGGTGAACTTTATTACAAAAGAAAACTGTCTTGTTACAATTTGTCATTCTATGAACTGGGAAATGGTAACTGGACTTGTTATCTTTGGGATGAGACACAGGGGAAACGAGGCTCGTGCGAAGTAGGAACTTGTGTGTACTTGTATGTTACTTCTGATGCAAGTAAGACATCTGTTATTGAAGAAGTGACATTATATAGTGATACATGTGGGGGACAGAATCAGTTTGTTGCAAGTTGCTTAGTTCACTGTGTCCAGTATATTCCTCACATCAAGTGTATAAACCACAATTTACTCGAAAGTGGTCATTCAGAAATGGAATGTGATTCCATACATGCATCTATCGAGCATGCAAAAAGCCTCACAAAAGTACATGTTCCATCTCAGTGGGAAACAGTTATTTCATTAGCACGCCGGAAGCAACCATATATTGTCGTTCTTATAAAATACACTGACATACTAGATTACAAGTTGTACAAAGAACAAAACTTTGGCTCAATGAAAATTGATGTTGATGGAGAACGTGTTAATTGGCTGAATGTAAAATGGATTCAAGTTCGTAAAGACAAAAAAATGAAAGAATAGATTATTTTTGTGAACTATGGTTTTTGATGTTAGTGAGTTCAATGAAGTTAGATTAATGCAGAAGAAGAGCAGAAGCAAAGAAAAGTCTCTTAATTCCCCACGAAAGGCTTATACAGAGAAACGTTCAGAATATGCTGCAAAAAAAGCTAATTTGATGTCACTTGTTGCCTCTTAGACAATTCCGAAGGAGTACGAATCATACTACGAGTCATTGCCATGCAGCAAATCTATAAAAGACAAACTTCAAGTGCCTTCTGTTAGTGAGAGTGAAACAAAAGAGTGAAGGTCATGGAATAATTAATGGCAAACATTCACATTTTGTGACATGAAACAGTAGTCTTTATTTACTTAACTATGATATGGGTCACTAATATCCTTAATTGCTGATGTCTAGGGTCTGTTTGGCTTCAGTTCGATTATATACCAGAGAACATTCAAAATAAATGAAAATTTGTAAACTTAGATTTTAGTGCGTATTTCCCTAACTTTTTAGTTATCAATTTATTTCTGTAGAATCTAAATATTGAGCAGGTACATATTTCATATTTCTATGAATGAAAATTGTCAATTTTGTGTACGAGTATTATTGTGCTTGTGTGTTAATGACATTACGTAAGGTTCTTCAAAGTAAGGACATAATTAATTAATTTGCAACAGTAACAATTACTGCAACATCTAAATTATTTTCAGAGGAACAAGGCTGTACTGCACTTACAACCTTTTTCCACAATTTATCTCGAACTTTTATTGCTAAACCTTCAGAAGTAAAAGGTCGTAAGGGCAGTTATCACCTTTTACCGCTCAAACTTGTTGTCTTGACAGGATCTAAGTACATTTATTACCTTTTACTTCTGTAAAATGATATTATTTTGATCATAGAACTTTAAAACAAAACATAATTACAGTGTTTAATCAGCACCAAGCAAGGTAAACTAAACAAAATATGATCTAATGTAGTCAACAAATATGGGAGAATCAAAATTGTTATAAAAATATTACGGAAAATAAAGTTGTATTAAAATATATGTTTTTTTGCGTTTTTCTCGAAATGTAGAAAATGGCAGTTATTACCTTTTACCTTTGAACCCTCGAATTCACCTTAAAGATTGAGATCGGTAAGCAAATTACCATTAATATATCATTCATTTCTTTAATGACTTTGACAATATTCCGAATCTATAATGCAATTAACATTTACTGAATAAAAGGGACTCCACTGAGGGTTTTCTATTGACGAGAACCTTTAAATATTTTTACGAAATTACCGTTTCATTTGATTAATGTTTTGACCAATAACTTATGTGCATAATTTGATATCATTTGCTTACTCAGTTTTTCCTAAATAATACCTTTATAGCGCATCATGACCCAAAAATGAAGAACAAGACAAAAACCGCTCAAAATGGATTTTTCATTCATTTTGAGCATATTTCTCAATTATATGTCTTGCATTTTTTTTTCCATTTTCAGTGAAACTGTTGATCTGTGCAAGAATTTCAAATTTTATTTCATTTTAGGCTTCTGGACCTCAGTGGAGCTCCTTTTTAACGTCGATTATCTTCTTAAAAAGATATAACATGTTTTTCATAAAATACTTGTTATAATAAATAATTAACATATTGCATAACGTATAAGTCTATAAAGCTAAATTCTGAACGATTGTAGTCATCATGATGTGACTTTCATAACTATTTTGTTGTAACTTGACGTTTTTCTCTTTTAATACATTCTATTCACATATCATATTTTGAACAACTTATACGTATATTATCCATTTCAATTTTAACTTATCGAAAATCTGTATTGAAACTATTTATTAAAAGTGCATACAATGAATTACGATTTTTGTTGAGTTAATAGCATCAATATTTGTGTCATTTGCTTTAATTCATCTTTTAGTTCGTTGCCTTGTCTTTCTTGTCCTTCTTTTATTTCCTGGCTCTGTTTTACATGCTCATCACCTTGCCTTCTTAGTTCCTCTTTAAGTTCTTCACTTTTCGCTTCTTGCCTTTCTTGACGTTCCTTTATTTCCTGACTATGTTTTACATGCTCATCACCTTGCCTCCTTAGTTCCTCTTTAAGCTCTTTGCCTTGCTTTTCTTGCCTTTCTTGACGTTGCTTAATTTCCTGGCTCTGTTTTACATGCTCATCACCTTGCCTCCGTAGTTCCTCTTTAAGTTCTTCGCTTTGCTTTTCTTGCCTTTCTTGACGTTCCTTTATTTCCTGGCTCTGTTTTACATGCTCATCACCTTGCCTTCTTAATTCCTCTTTAAGTTCTTCGCTTTGCTTTTCTTGTCTTTCTTGACGTTCCTTTATTTCCTGACTCTGTTTTATGTGCTCGTCACCTTGCTTTTTCAATTCGTCATTTTGATTCTTAAGTTCTTCTCTTTGAATCTTTTGCTGATCACTAATTTCCAGAGTCCTTTTTAAATATTCACCAAGTTCATTTGATATTTCTAGTTTATGTTTTGCAAAACCTTGATCAAGAGATTCTAATCTTCCATGCAGTTGCGACACACTTCCGGAAAGTGACATTACTGTGTCATGCAACTGATCGTGCAGCCTCGGATCATTTATTTGTGAATCAGATGGTAGAAATCTTTTAAATCTGCATTGCTTGTTACAAATCCGTTTTATTTCGTTAAGGACATCGTAGATTGGCGTACATACATAAATATTAGTACCTTGGAACTTCCCTTCAAACATTCCAAACGCAGAAAGCTCTTTGTTTTCATCTTTTATAAAAACAAGTGCACCTGAATCCCCCTTTAAAGCAAACTGCGATTCTATATTCATTATTTCGATCTGATCATGCAAAACTAATTCAGTATCAAGAATGTTGTCTTGAAATTTCAATGTTCGAACCGATGAACCATTTACTCGACACACTCCTTGTGTGAGTTTGCTTTCACAACCGTATTTATACACTAAGGGAAAAGGGAGACGTCTTGTGTTCAAAGTATTTCCGGAAGCAAATTCAAAAGGCGTGTCTGGTCCAAATCCTGCAATGAGAGTATTGATCACATGACTAAGGTTATAAATGTATAATTGACAACATTTCAAAAATTCTCTTAAACTTCATATCATTATTAAATCTATTGTATTCTTGATACAAACACAAAAATAAGTTTACTGTCTTGTTTGAAAAATGTTAATCTTTTGTATCACTGATATAATACAACAACAGCAATAACTTATAGGTTTTTATCAGTTAAAATATCAATTTCTCTTATTCCATCTTAATCTAACATAAGAGACGATAAAAAACAATCATAGTCATGGTGCATATCGGTACCCTCTTTGCAAAATCCACTAAAACGGTACCTATTTTGCACATGTTCAGGTCATTCTCTGTTGAAAACAAGTAGGCGACATACACCAATCCAGTTATTGTTCATTCTACTGATCAAAGGTGGAATGTAAAAAGTGCAAAGTGGTTTATCACGAATTTAACTGTGATTTTTTTAAGGAATTTGCTAATTTTTCCATAATCACGTAAGCAACATAAAATCGCGATCTTTCCCCGCACCCACCAACTCGGCATGCTCAGTGGGCTAAAATGAAGCAGTGGTTGGGGACCATGTGCCGCTTTTCATGGAATGGCACTAACGTGTCACATTGAAGGTTCCATGATAACCGCCATATGAACACATCTGCAGATATTTCCAAATTCTTAATTTTACTATTTCATATTAGATGTTGAATTCTGCTTAAGCCGGTGCTGGGGGGCGTGGACGGTAGTTTGAACTTGACAGTACCGTCCATGAACAGGCTCAATCAAACCGAGCCTGCAACATTTTCAATTTTGCCGTGTTGGGCTTTCTTTGGGGATTCTTATTTCACACTATTTGATTATGTACACATCGTACATTTTACATGTACTCATTTATATATTGTCTTCGGACAAATAGAAATAAAATTTCAAAATTGCATTTTGAATTCATAAATACAGCCTTCTTCGGTTTCTTTGGTATTGATTTTTCCTATCACATTTCAGTTTGTTTAAAGCACCGATACCTTCTAAAGCACTGTATAAGATAAGTAATATTACTTTTAATAGCACCGCACATGTGTATGCGCGTTTATGTTCTCGCCTGTGCGTGCGTCCGCCCACGTGTGTGTTCGTGCATGTGTGTATAAATTATGTAAACTTAAACATTTTCTCCTTAAAAACCACTCGTCCAATTTCAAAAACCTTGCCAGGGTTGTTCCTTAGGTGAAGAACTTTAGAAATTAATCAAAGATTTAGTTTACATGAGCAATCTGGTTGCCAAGGTAATCAAAAGGAATTATAAGAAGAAAATTAAAAAAAGCTTTCTTTTTTAGAAATACAAGGCCTAAATCATAAATATTTTGCATATGGTATTGTCTGGTTGATCTCTACCAATATTGTTAAAATTGTTGAAATTGATTTCTCATCATTTTTTGTTAACCTTTTACATCATATAGGCGTGTTTTGACGGCTTTTCACTCTCTCTTTTGAGGCCTCAAATAGTGAAAAAAAGTTCTATGTAAGCCCCAAACACTGTTTTTCGTTTGAGAAATGTTGTTTAAAAAGTGATCACTTTTCGGCGCAGTCACTATCAAAAAAGTACATCAAGGGGGTGCCAGAGGAGGGATGTGTCAACTTCTGTATGGGGGGGGGGGGTTGAAGGGAGCGGGAGCCCTCTCATAATTTCTATATATATTTGATAAAAATGAGTAAATGTAAAATGTATGATGCGTACATAATCAAACCACTGGTTCATTTTGACCCAAAGAACATGCCGAGGTTGTGGGTGCGGCGAAATTTTACATTTTTGTGTAGCTTATTGTGGAGTTGTGGTAATTGAAAAATAGACAAATTATTAAAAAAACATAGTTAAAACAGTCTAGTGTTCCGTGGTATTCTTCTTTTTCACTCTTTTCACTCGACATACCGCCTTTGATCAGTAGAATGAACATTTACTAGATTGGTGTATGTCGCCTACCTGTTTTCAGCAGAGAATGATCTGTGTATGTGCCCCCTTCTGCTTTGGGGTTTCAAGGGGGTCAGCAGACCCCCTCTTCTCCAAGAAAATTTTGGACTTGTGACAGGCTAAAAATGGCCTCAGATCAACGTTAAGGAAAGGTGCAACCAACGCTGAAAAGCCTCTGTCATTCAGAAGTTGCAGCACTTTGAAATCAGTTTTGATGAAAAAATCAACGCAAAATAGAGATTTTTGGCACTTGAGATGTCCCTTTGTTGTCATGGTAACAGGAAATTTAAGATTGAGTATGCCGTTACAAAGGCTATGGTGCAGTCAACAATTGTGCCAAGTTAGAACAGTATTGAAGCCTTTTTAATAGTTTCATAGCAATTTGAACTTGTAACAGGAGGCTTTCAATGAAAACAGCCATTTTTCAACAAATGCTCATGAAGTAATTGGCTAAATATCTTTTGGTTGAATAGTCAATAAGTAAACATCTGTTTTCAGCGGAAGTTATTGCATGTGAACTTAGTTTCAGGATAAAAACCCTCATGAGAGTTTTGTAAAACTCAAATATAATTGAATCTAAAGATTTTTTTACACGTATATGTTTCTTTTCTAAATTCGTTATTTTCTCCAATGTTACTAACATTGGAGAAATGCCGGTTTTAGAAAAGACACATCTACGTTAAAAATCGTTACATTTAATTTGAAGTCGACAATCCTATCATAAAGGTTTTTAGCCCGAAACCAAGTGCCTATAGAATGACTAGGCCTACAGTAAGAAAGGATTATTTAACAAGTTTAATCCGTGAAATAAACAGTTTTAGGATATCACCGTGAGTGAACATGCCCAAAAACCATGTGATTAATATTCTAGACAGGATCGGATTTTACAGATCATAGCCATATAAATGGGTTTGTGTTTTGATTCTAAATGAAAGTATGAAACACAGCTAATTGAATGTTTATGTCTGGTAGATATCATCATTTGCTTTGAAAATAAAAGAAAAATAAGTTCTCAAGTTAAAGGTAAGGATAGTTGTTACTCTTGGTTTAATCTTGTACAGTTAAATTTAGTTGAAAATTTGAAATTATTACAGCTTATGTTCAGGGTAATAAAATAAATAACACAAAGGGTTCTGCGTTAAAGTAAAAATATCATCCCTCGTAAAAATAACAGTATTTTCCTTGGATGACATTTTACTGTTACAAGCCTATGTGTTATTTATGTACTGACCCTGCTTGGTCAACAGTAACATACCAGGTGGATTACAACTTTTCATACAGGTCAAAACCTCATAAATCAGACATACCATGTCTCTGAAAATCAAGACTACATATTTTGTGTCAAATAGTAAGGTCAGATTGTCATAATATTAAAGTTTGAAAAGAAAAGTTAAATCAGCTTACATTAAAAGAAATACTATGCAAAAGTATTGTTTTCAAAAATACCTGCTGACAAATAGTCAGAGTCATCGGGGAATGTGCCTTCAGTAGGCCATCTGCTCTGGTGAATTCTTATTAATGTAAACTCCATTCCTGATATTCCATTTCCTCCACTTTTATAAACTGCCGCCACTGTTTTGCCAAGAGGTTTATAATTTGTATTGGCAGGTTGACAAACAACAATACCATCGTCAAATACACATATTCCCTTTTGAAGTATAGCCTTAAGTTTATCATGACCAAATACAACATGTGCACACGTAAGCCCATATAAATCATTATCATTTTCAAATTCTATAAATGCTCCAAGAGTACCAACCATTTCTGCACCGATTGCACAACCCATTTTCACATTCTCATGATACTCATTTGGACCCTTACAAAGTGTAAAAATGCCCTCTCGGACAACCACTGGAAACCCTCCGATTTCGGTTGGGAAGTATTTCTCACCCACTGGTATATATCCTTTAATGTGGACATAGAGTGCAATACACAATTCCTTTCTTAATGATAGGTGTTCAGTATCATTACGATCTGTTCTGAACCAACTTGCTGTCACCCTAGTAAGGTTGCTATGGTTATTCATCAATGACTTTGCATTTTCTTTCAAACATTTCTCAAGTTTTTCAATTTCTTCAGAAGTTGGCAGGTTATTGTATTCCATTATTTCTATTTCTTTGTTCCGGTCGGTTTCATCGACTTGCAAGAAATATCTTTGATATATAGCAAAATTTTCCTCGTTTATTTTAACTGTTGTATCTGTTGTCAGGACAACAAAAACAATGTCATGATCATTAGGCAAGGAATCCTTTGAATAATTTGTAGCAGCCCAAACATGTGCAATTTCTTCTGACTTCTCCTTGATATAAACGCAAACCTTATCGCAAATTTTAGAAATAACTAAAGACAAATGTGCGTACTTTGATCTTATAGCGTTCAGCGCAATTTGATCTGGCAACTTTCTTTCACTTAATAAACTTTCCGCCTGATGTTTTAAATCGCCTCCTTCCTTGATACACTTGAGCCATGCATCTTTATCTGTAGTGGAGACAATAAGCATTTTATCATATAATATCAAAAAATTGATGTAAAAATGTGGAACCTTAAGAGTGGAATATATAAACTATTTTATTTGACTTTATTTAAAATAAAAATAAAATTGCATATAATTCCAAGAACAAAGTTATTATTTTTAGTTTAACTTAGAATAGTACATTAATGTCCCGAAATTTATCGTTTTCTTATTTTGTTGTCATATCGATACTGTTATGGTATATTTTGTAAAGCGGGCCTAATGTGGCCCTTCGTGCACTATTTCAGACTCGGACGACGGACTGGCACATGAGTAAAACTACCGACCTTCCGTAGGCTGTGAAAATAATCATACTCGAATACATTGTACATATTTTGTGTAGCGACTGTTTATTTAAATTGCTTTTCTCATAAGACGGACTAAGTATATGATATCAATGTATAATTTTGCATACTTCTTCATATTCATTTATTTATTTATCTACTAGTATTTATGTGGAATATACTCTATACTGTTCTACATTCCCTAAAGCCACTTTGTAGCTATTGCGCAATGCTTTGAAGCACTTTGTGTATAACATATTTGAATGGTTAATATACATTGACTGTTCAAGGGGTTGACCTTTTTCCACCATATTTGTTAACAAGTTTTGATAATATACATGAAATAATGGATTATTATTATTATTATTATTATTATGGTATAGCCGACGAAAACTATTTTCATGTTGAACTAATTATGAAATACAACATACCTATCTTCCATGTTTTCCTTCTTTTGTCTTTTTTCTTTTTCTCATAGCCCCCCTTATTGTTACCGTTACTGTCATCATCATCACTAGACGGATCATCACTGGGACTTTCATCTGGATCACCCCCAGTTGCCCCGAGTAACTGTATATCTTCCTTGGTGCTTTGCAAATTCGACGACTCTTTATCTAAAACGATAAGTTCAAATAAAAACTTTGCTCAACTTAGTCAACCAACAACTACGTAAGAATTTTTGTAATCCAGTTATATAAGCATCAAATCAAGAACTAAGTATCAAGTCATGCAGAGAAATAAAAATAATATTACTTGGTTAATTCTTTGTAAACCGATCTAACGTGAATCATTCATTTCGAGGTACAGTGTAAATCAAATTTGTTTGCCGCTCATGTGTAACCGTTTCTAAATACAGTAACAAATAACACTGCTAAATATGTATCTTAATGTTGCCTTTGTCAATTTCAGACCATTCTTAAGAATAAATGTGTAAACTCTGAACAAGTTTGGTTAAATAAAAATTCTTACCTAAAGCTAAAGTTACAGTTAAATGTACATGTTCATATAGACTATCTACTTATAAAAATAAGATTGACACTGCGAAAACTTGCATATACTTTTCTCACAATACTTACTTCTCCTTGTGCCAGAATGCATTTTACTTTCTTGATCTCTCCGTTTTTCAAAGTTACGCCACTGGTTTTGAGAATGGCAAATGCAATTACATCGTCTCATGCAGTTACACCTTTCACACTTATGCATTCTGTTGTGTCCAAGGGGCCAAATAGGAGTTGTGTCTGTTATGCATTTCATTAATTCTTCGTTAGGCTGTATTCTGACTCTTAATGGTTCATTTTGCAATAGCGTTTCCACAACACGTTGGCTCACGCGATCTGTGAACATCAAACGTTTGTTTATGTTTCTTAATTACTAAGAATTATACATGGACACATGATACTTTGAAAAAATTCTTCATAAATATCGAAAATTAGAAAAAAATATTTTCAATGAAAATTTTTGCATAATAAAATGATTTAAAACATATACTTTAATTTAGAAAAAAATGATTTCTATAAATGAAAAATGTAGATATTGTCAGGTATAAAATGCATCTTTTTCAATAATAAGCAAATAAGAAGACATATGTTCTTACCTACAATTAACTCTGTTTGTGGCTGAAAAGAAAAACCAATAGAGGTTTCATTAATCACAAAACATATGTTAAGTGTTACTGTAAATTTGTTATAACTAGTAATAAAAATTTTGTTCACAACTTCTGTGAAACATTGTTCAGTTAAATGTGACCTTTAGCTTTGTAACATATATAAGTGTTTTTCATTTATTAAATGTTATACTCACATGCAATTCTTGTATGCTATGTTCAATCCTGTCAAATCCTTCTGTCATGTTTTGTCTTGTCTCCGTCACTGTTCTTTCCACTGTTTCAAATCTTTTGGTGACATCAGTTTGGAAGGTTCGCATCTGTAATGCTTTATATAGAATACTGGCATACAAAACGCTATGGAAATAAAAGACTCATGTTGCGCCGCTATTGCGTATTTATTTACTTGCACTACTATAACAGTTTATCGTCACATTCGTAGACTATTGTTACTGATAGCGTAAAGTATTTGATAGAAACATTTAATATGTTTTTAAGCATAAGTGGATTTTAATGCAATTACACTTTACAATAGTTACAGCCAAGAACACAGAGCGTGTCATTTTACAAGTGACATAATTGTTTTCATTGTTTTTCTGATCTTTACATCGATTTAACACATCGATTTTTAGCGATACATCGGCAGCTGATCGAACTTAACGGCATTTCTAGAAAACTAACCAGTAATTACCAATTACCAATGTGATCGACTTCTGATTTCTGAATCAGCGGCGGGAGACAAATGACCAAAGAATATTCAGACATACTTTTCAGCTATCATTATGCATCTCATTCCTTCAACCGTTTTCCTAGCCAGAAATTATCGTGTGGAGTAATTACGTAAGAAACTCAACGGCCTATTTAAACAACATGTTATGTAGCGTTCTGTTATTTTAAGAAAACTCTTTAAATTATTTGGCTACTTGGTGGATGCAGTAGCATTTGAAAACGTCAAGCAGATTTCCGGCAGAGCGGATAACACAACCATGTATCATGAAGCGTTACTTTTTATGCGCTCGGACCAAGATTGGGACTTTTTATATTGATTGCATGTATTAAAATGCGCTTGAGAATATAAAGCTACAAAATGAAACGGAATTTGTGATATCGAGTTATTCAGTGGCTTTTTTAAAAATAAGAATTTGACATATTTTGTTTCTTTCAATGAGATCAAAGTTCGCCTTTTAAGGCTGACTTCATCGCTTTGTGCATTCCATAAAGCATCTCCTGTCTCAGATTGTTTATTATACTTCAAAAAGCACCCTTTATCATATTATATCTCTTTATCTGATTTGAGTTTTAAATGTCTTTAAAGGTACTTTACTTGGTTTCTTTTTCAATAACAGGCAAAAATGGTTGCTCTTAACTTCAAGTACTTTGTTGACCTTTTAGTCTTCCACCCGATGGAGAGCAACGAGTCAATGAGTGAGTCGTTGGGCGATGAGTAAGTTCTCCTCGGACTTCGAGTCTAAAGATCGTATTGTCGCTCAAAGCCGATTGGATTAGTAGTTGGACACATGTTGAGAAATAAGTAATTACTGGTTAGTTTTCTAGTAAAGTCGAATTGGTCGACCGACAACCGAAATATAATCATAAATGTGTTTAAAATTGGCGTAAAAACAGAAAACAAACACACAACTTGTAGTTAGTTCAATCGAGCGTTTGAAAGAAAATATAGAGTTTGCAGATGATATAAATAAATACATGCAAATTAATACATAAACAAGAAGAAGTATAAATGCCTAGTCTACAAACTTCTCGATCTGCCCTAGAATAAAGCACTACGAAACCCTTCAGTATATATTTTGTAACTTTAAATAACCCTCTTCAGTATAATTGTGACATTTAAGAATCATTTTTAATTACTTAGATATATTTAATATATTACTTTGACATGAACCTTTATTGAAACAAATTACTCATAGGAAATGAATCTCAATGCATTATCTATCTTAATGTAGGCAAACAGAAATTGTACTGTCACGTTATTGTTGTCATATCTGGAATAAAGCAGTTTGGAACGGACAGATCCCGGCGAAAATGAAAACAAAAAACGGCTCGTTTTCAATAAGTGCGCCTGTAAAGTGCAAAACACAATCATATACGGTATTGCATTCTTAACACCAAAGTTTCACAATCAATGATCTCAAATGACCCACAAAATAAAACGAGATTGTGATAATGCTCAAATCAACTCTGCAAAAAGCAACTTAACACTACCTTTTGTTGCGAGTACAAAACATTCTGAAATTTTTATGAATTTCATCTCTGTTTGTTACTGGTCATGTATTACGTAAGAAACACAAGGAACAAGGAGCATATGCTTTATCATACATGTGTCCTCTCCATTTTAGCAAGACTGATATCTGAGTCAATTTAGGACAGAAAAAAACAGTTGTATGACTTTAAGAGTGGAAATAATGATAATTCTTACCGTTATTCATAAGCAATGACTGAAAAGAAAAGTTAAGACACCTTTCATGAACGAAAATAACAAGAACAAAAGTATACACAAAACTTGCAATACCGGATGTAGGTTCGAGTATATCTTAAAATGACTATAAAAATTTAAATATTATCTTTAAAATTTGTATCATATTTTATTACAACACTTGCTTTACCAGTTCAGGTAATCATACGCAAAGGACAATTATATCAATAGACTCATTTTGTTCGAACACCCCAACATAAGCAAAAACCGTAAAACATTATACATTATTTACATTTAGTATATATTAAATTTAAACTTGATATGTACAAGTTCTTCATTCTAGTAATCATTCCATCATTTTCTCCTTACCTGTCCAATGTTTTGCAACCTTTCGTTCATATTTTGTTGCAGTTCGCGCGTTTGATCTGTAACTTGTCTTGTCTGTGACACTGTTCTTTCAATTGATCCAAGCCTTCCTGATTCAAAATAATGTAAGACATTCAATAAAGTACATTGAGTGATTGTTTTATTGCATTTACTATAAGGTATTCGGCCTCGGTCAAAGATAATTTCCTAGCCAATTATTTTAATTGAGATTGTTTACCACTCTTACGTGAATTTATATATGTATATAATTATGCTAATACAACAATTTTCAAACATCAAAGAATATGCAAAATATGTACTGCAAATATTTGTACATGTATTAAATGTAATCATTAAATTATATGCATTCATTTCTTATTGGAAAATTTGTCTTAGAATTTATAGAAAACAAATTTCTAATTATCTCCCTTTATTTACATGAAATGTTAAATTCGGTAATATCTTTATAAATAATGCTTTTTGGAACTTACAATATTGATAAATCTCAATTTGAGCATCATATTTTATATATAAAACCATAAAAAATGTGTTACAGGATCTTTAAAAATTCTTTATATTGTATAACTTAGTAAGATTATTCGCCATTTTATCACAGTTTTCTTTTTTTGTAATTTACATAATCGTTTCAATTAAACTCTATTGTTATTGTCATAAGAAAAAAATAAGTACGTCATAAAGAAATAGAAAAGATAGAATATGAACAGAAATACTAGATCTTGAATACATACTTAAAAGTGCAGAGTGTCAATTCAGTCAACATGTAAATCTAATATCAAAGGTTTTTCTCTTTTGACTTGTTTCAGTATAGGATAATTGTCATAACTTAATTCCAAAAATGTTTAGAAATTACGTGTACATAATTTATTTTCTTACCTCCATGTACTTTTAACACTTCTCTTATATTTTTCTGCTGTTTTAGTGTTGTCAACAAAATCTAATAAATAAATATTCTTTATGATATAGGCTTTTCGTATTGTACAGGCGATGCATATATGTGTTAGTGTGAATGTTTAGTCATATTATAAAAGTACTAAAAACATTGTTTTAAATAATGCATACACACTTTTGTGAACTTTTTACTTCCGCTGTTATTCCATACAGAATGGCTACTCGAGTATGTGTTCACCAGACACATATTTCTTGATGCTTTGACTAAAGTGACTAATACTACCATTTGTAGAGGTAGAGAAAACAAGAAATATTCATGTAGCAGCATTCCAGATTCATGCTTATTTTCATGAATATTTTGATGAATAAGAATATTCAATAGTAAATTATTGCTAAGCGCGCAAAGAAAATAATTAACACATTGCAAATGACACTTGCAATCCGCGTAAGTTATAAAAAAAATGCCAAAATATTCTAAAAACCTCTTACTGCATTAGTCCCGCATTATAAAAAATGGTGATAAATACGTCCAATAATATATGTTATTGTCTTTAATTTTCCGGACACATTCTTGCGTATATCAAACCAGCAACATTTGAAAAAAAATCAACACATTTCTTGATCTATTCTATATAAATGTTACACACACAACAATTGCAGTCCAAGCAGGTGTCAAGTGCTTTAAGGGAGCTGTAAAAAGTTGTTGTTATACTTGTCTGGTCCGTCGGAATCATATATTCAAGCACGTTCGAAGATTAAATACCGCTTTAGCGTGAGATATATTGTGCGTTTACATTATTTCTCATGAATAGACTTAATCAAAACGGGTCTGCAATTTATATGTTTTATCGTTTCATCTAAATACATGTATTATTTTTAATCTTTAAAGTATAAAAATATCATACCGTTTCTTCGTATGAGGGAGGAGTGTCTTCTGGCAAAGGATCGTCGACTGAGGTTGGCGGCAGTAAACCTATCCTTTGCAGATAATCTTTTAGATGAGATAATTCTGGAAAAATTAAATTAATATTTTATCTTATCACAGCGATTTTTTTAATGCGTTTATTTAAGGTCGCCGCCGGAAAGCCCATATGGGCGACCGTACACTCAAGTCGGGCCATCCTAGAGCGTCCCGCCGAGATTTTTCGTCGATTTTTTTCCAGCTTTATTGGTGGAGGAAGACCCCAGGTGCCCCTCAGGGCATTATTTAATGGCACGAGCGGGCACCTGGGTAGAACCACCGATCTTCCGTAAGCCAGCTGGATGGCTTCCTGACATGAAAGATTTCGACCCGAGTGAGGATCGAACCTATCACAGACATATATTTCAAGTCTGTATATATTCATTAATCAATTCAAAACGTTACATTAAAGACCATTGTCTGCATATTTAATACATGTACATTGAAATTTAAATATTCTCGAGTTCAAGTTAATTCATTTAATTATTATAAGGATTTTTTTCATCAACGTTCACGTATTATTTTAATGTGGAAATTGCCTACCTTCTGCATTCAGTTCGATCTGCAATAAAAGTAATAAAGTGTTAGTTTATTGACAGTACATTGTATACTTTCGCTCCGATTTTTTATGGAGCTTAAATGGTATAAAGTTGTATCTCATGAATCTTATTAAAGATTCTGTAACTCATTTTTTATGATTTTATATAATAAATATGATGCTCAAATGAAGATTTATCAATATTGTAAGTTCCATAAAGCATTGTTTGTAAAGATATTACCAAATTAACATTTCATGTAAATAAAAGGAGGTAATAAGAAAATTATTTTCGATACAGTCTAAGCCAAAATCTTCAATAAGAAATGAATGCATATATTTCATGAATACTTATAATTGGATTAAACATTTGCAGTACATATTCTAGGATGTTTAGAAATTGCTTTAGAAGAATAATTATATACATAGATAAAGTTTCACTTAAGTATTGTTACATCCATAATTACAACATACAGGATACTTAATAAACTTTTAACTATACAATAATGTTGTTTCCATAATGTTATGGTTGATTCTCAAAAGAGTTATAACATAATGTCTCTTTTATTTAGTATACATGAATATTGTATGTTAACAGAATCAATGTCCTGGAACAAAAAAATATGATTTTCTTGATTTTATTGAAACATTTATGCTTATCTGGAGGCATGCAACTCCAATCACCTATTGCTACATTGACACAAGTTTTAGAGTACTAAAAGGAAGACTTGTAACAAATCACTGCAATTAAAACTAGCTACTACTGAAGGACCATGTTAGAAATAATTTTAAAAGATCGAAGTTTGAGACGTATTGAAAGTAAAAGATTAAAGGCACCTGTGGTCTTCGAAACTCGGGTGGTAACATGGGTGTATCTGTGGAATGCACCTTATTTATCCCCGCTGATTCTTCTTTTCCTGAAAATATTTCTGACAAAAATGCTATTTCTTGAAAACATGAGAATAAAGATCAACAAGGAGGAGCAACTTTCACAGAACGCAGCCTCCATAATGTTCTGAAGCAACGGCACGCTAAAATGGTGTCAAACGGGTACAGACACAATAAAGGAAAGGCAGCCGAGCAGTGAGGGTGGAGAAGGGCTGTTGGCAAATCAGACTGTAACTAACCAAATTTCGCATGTAAAGTGGAGATTAATATGGTTCCATAATTCCATATTACAACTGACCCCTCTCCTCCCCCAATAAAACCATTGGACATTAATAAAAGTAAAAACAAAATACTGACCGTCTCGCGCTTAAATGGTAAAAACTTGTTCACACTAAAAAACGATAAGTCTTGCTTTATTGGCCCATTACTCATCTAAAATTGATTATTAAACAATATTGGTATTTTAAATAAAATAGAAATTTCGGTGATCCGTCAATTTGTTTATTGAAAAGTTTTAACTGAAAAGTATAGATAAAATTTTTTTGAATGTATTTTGCGTTGTTGTTTATCTACTAGTATTTACTAACCTGTATTTTTATTCGGTATTCCAGAGTGCTGCTGTCGTTCAAAGCTTGTAAATTTCTCCTTCTTCTTCCTATTATCTCTTATTGACCGCTTTTTCAACTCCTATAAATGACAAAAATAGCAAACATATTATCATTATGTTGTTATATCACGATTGGATGAAATTGCACCAGTAGTTTATGAGGAGTGGTCCAGACAAGTTTTGTGACGGACGGATGGACAGACACACGACGGAGAGGTGATCCCTTTATGTCGTCACTACTCCGTAGAGGCAACACAAAAAAACATAATCATTTCTCTATTATTGCCATCTAAAGTGCTTGTATTGATTCTTGATTTTTATTTCATCAATAAAATTTGCGTAAGTCAGCATAATCAGTCCATAGATTTTCGTCATAGTAACTTTAAGATATAATTCTAATTTAAGATATGGTACTTTATCAAATTCATTGTGCCAAATAAATTACCAATAAATGTATTATTCTGTTTAAAATTTTTTCAATTTTAATTTAATTTAAACTTACCTTTTCAAAATTGTAGAAATCCTCATAGAATTTCTCATCTCGAATCTTTTTATCTAAAAAACGAAAAAAAAGAGAAAAAAGTGACGACGTGAATTCAAACAAATACATTTATCATGTCTATGCTCTTTTTATCTTTTTATTGAGTTTTACGCCCTGATGGTACTAGAACCTACAGCGATGAGGGGCAATCTAAGTGGTTTTAAGTCATCTTAAACCACAAGGCCACGAACGCTCCCACACTTGACAAATCAAGCTCTCTAGCAACTATTTTATGAATCTGAACATGCCTAAATTAACCTTCAAACCATGCATTGCATTTAATCCCCTATCGATCTACAAATACCCCCTATTTTATCTCTTTTATCTGATTGTATTGTCCTGCGCCATGCAAGAACGGACGTGGAAGTATATTGTTGCGAAATATATTTCCTGATATACAAAAGGTAGTGCAATTCTTCATATTTGGCGAAAGCATCTTTAAGTTAATTATTTCGTGAATATTCTAAGAACTTTCAAGACAAAATTAAAAAAGGAAAAGATTGAAGAACATGGCAAATAGAAACTACATTGTATATTCTTATGATATCACTTTATATATAAGACGACCGTTTTAACTAAGTCTACTTAGCAAATGTCCACGGGAGGACAGTCTTTCGTGACCTCCGCTAGTGTCTGGTTAATATATAAAATATTACACAGGTCATAGGTTTCACAGGAAAGGTAAATCAAATTTTCGCTGTCAGTGGTAAATGAAATACTGTTTTTATCGTTTTACTTGAAATATTTTGTGAAACAAGAACACACATGTCTACTATATTTCAGTCCCTTCTTGCACGGTGCATTTGTTTGCTCTTTAATACTATTTGTCGTAAGGCAGGTTTTGGTAAAAACCAGTAGGATTTTGTACAAAACGACCCGTCATAACGTCGGCATGGCATAGTATATGTGATCTTTTACATGATAACCATATTTTGTAATTTCAAGAGAGTTTAACGAATTGACAAAAAATGATTACAGCGAAGACGGCGATGGATAAGGCTACAACGCTTTGTGTTTGTTTCACATTAAAACAACGTATATTTCATTTGACCCATCAATTTAGTTCAAACTTGTTGAAACATGAAGTTGGAGGAATATTTATCCATACTTTCATCGACAGATGCCCCTCCGCCACTGCTGATGAACTCAGTTCTGTAAAAGCTATGACCAGTATGAATATGACGACCTTTGCCAAAGTTTAAAAGCTTTATGATTTATAAATGCTTTACAATTGTGAAATTTGCTAATGTCTAAATAACCTTCTTTTACAGTTATATATTCACACATTTGTTTTTATTTCGGGATTGTTTTAAACTTGCAGTCATTTCAAATATAATTTTGTCTCGCGCTCTTTCAAATACCCAATTAAAACGTCAGACATTATGTGAGTTAGAAAAGATAAAACTTAACAGAAATTAACCTTCTGTAGATTGCTGTTGAGCATTCTGACCTGTACCAACAACGCTTGTTTCCCTGGTGGTGTCATTTTCTTTTCTGTCATATTCTTGTTTCTCTTCTCGGTCCTGTTAATTAAACAAGGGTTCTGTAGACCCCAATGCGCTCACCTGAGAACAGACTGTTATTTGTGTAAAAGCAGTAAAAACTAGTGTTGATAATTAAAACGATGTTGGCCACTAAATGCAAAATGTATTTTTAAATATACTATATACATTGGCTTAATTTCATAGCTGTACATCAAAAACAAGGAAATTGGTCACTAGGTCAACATATAAGCCATTAAATATCAAATTTCAGTTCTACACTTGAAATTGTGGACATGGTTAAAATGTGATAGTTGTATATAAAAATCCCAAAGGAAACCATTTCATCATAATCTAAGTAAACTGATTCCAAAGTTTAATTTTACATCTTAAACTGTGCACATGGCCAAGTTTTCAAGGCATGGTCCAAATTTCATGGCTGCACATCGAAGTACAAGAAAGTAGGTCACAATTTTGACCCAAAGCCTTTAATTTAAAAAATCTAGATTCAGCTCCACCAGACAATATTTCATGTCAAAATAAGTTCTAGCTTTCTCCTATTTAGAAAACATTTTTAGTCTATGTTTTTTCTGTATGTACATAATGAAAATCAATGACCGTGGGGCGGGGCCAATTTTGACCCTGGGGCTTTAATTTGAACAACCTTGGTAGAGGTCCACTATACCATGTTTTATGCCGAATATATCTAACCTTTAGCCCTTATCAATTCAAAAAAGAAGATTTTTATTTTTACTATATAAATCGCTATATAGAAAACATATGACCCCGAGGAGAATTTTAACACTTTGGACAAAGATTGAACAACTTTGGAAGAGGACTTACAAATGATACTATATACCTAATATCAAAGCTCTGGATCTTGTACTTTCAGACAAAAAGACAAAGATTTTTTAAATTGCACTTTTAAAACTTCTTTTCTAGCCCCGTGACTTGTTCAACAGACCCAAACCATTTAAACAACTTTGAAATTGGACCATCCAAGGATCATACCTGTAAAATCTGGTTACTGTGCAGTGATTTGTTTCAGAGGAGATGTTTAAGGTAATTATTGACGACGCACGACGGCGGACTGTGGGAGATCACAACAGCTCACCATGAGCAAAGTGTGCTCAGGTGAGCTAAAAAAAAACAAAAAAAAACAAAACACCATCTTTTTTAATATTTTGCAAATAAATTGCCAACAACAAACGTACACAATTTTGATCAACAGTACAGCATATAAACGTTCAATGTTAGAACGAGCAACTATGATTACAAGTATTTAACTGCTGTCTTTTAAAATATTTACAGTAGTGATGTCTGCGCATTTCGACAGCTTCGCAGTAAAACAGCTGCAGGCAGTCATGCAGCAAATCACGTTACATTTCAGCCAAGTCCGAGATTTTCTTGGCGATGTGGGGCCCTACTACATCAAACCCCAAAGCAGAAGTGGGGCACATCCCCCCTCTGGCACCCCCTTTGTGTACCTTTTTGAAAGGTGGCAGCGCCTAAAAAGTAATCACTTTTTTAAACAACATTTCTCAAACAAAAACCAGTGTTTTGGGTTAAAATAGGGCATTTTTTCACTATTTGAGGCCTCAAAAAGTGGGGAGAAGCCGTCAACACATGTCTATTCACTTTTAGAGGCCTCAAAAAGGGAGGGGGGTTAAAAGCCGTCAACACATATTAAATTAGTTTATGTATATTAAATTTTTGAATGTCCTTTATTAAATGTGTAAAGTTTTTTTTCTTCAAAAATCACACCTGTACTTTATTTTTTATCAGTAAATAGCAGTAATGTCTGCACAATTCTACAGCCTCTGCAGTCATTCACGCGTGACTGCGCACCAATTTTCCAAAATTCCGTCATTCAACAGTAACCTAGACCGATTGTTTAAAGCATTATCACAGTGTACACTCCATGTCCAGTAAAACTTCCGCTTGCGAGCAAGCAAAACGCGAAAACCCGCCGATTTTGAACTGAAAATTGATAAATAAGTTAAATAAAGACCAATCATGGAGGAATTGTTACTTTTAGAACTAGGAGATACATAAAAGATATCATATCTGTCCCAGGCCCTACGGCAAAACCTATATTTTCCGTAAAAATACGATTTTTCTCCCTGAATCTTAAAATATAGTCACAATTTTTAACTTCAGACACCGATTTCAAGCTTTTCATATACAGCAAATCCTCGTGAAACTTTGAAGAATAATCTTGTGAGCTTGGGAAAAAAAATAACAAATTAATCATCATTGGTGTTGTTTCTTAACTGTACGGTTGCTTGTCAGAACAAATTAAAACTGTGAAAAGTTGCTTGATAGCCAGCTATTTTATATTTTCATGATAATTTATTTCAGCTATTGTTAATGAATTTAATATAAAAAATAACATATAAACGGCGTTTTTACATGTCAATGTTTTGGAAATGGGAAAATACACCAACGTTGTACGGCTTATTGATGTATTGATTTGCATTAAAGAACTTCACATTTGTTTATGGAACGTCTTATATGCATGAATTCAAAGTGTGGTTTTTATTTTCTTTTGACTGCCTGCGTAATGTACTGTAAAAACGTCGTTTGTGTATGAAAACCAGAGTCCAGTAGTTTAATGGTAACAAAATGGATACTGAAGATAAAATTTGTTTTGAACGATAATTTGTGTGTTCTGTTTTCTTTTTATCTGTGACATCCATAATATGTCAATGAAGTTTTATTCCAAAGGTAAATGCAACTGACATCAAATAAATATGAAAGTGTGTCTCATTGACTCCTAAAATTGAATGTTGTACAATGTCAGTAAGTTAATTTGTAAAACAAATAATTACTTGATTGATTTATGTCTCATCAATGTACACACTATAACAGAGGCTGACGTATATATGCAGTGCAATAATGCACTTCTAATCCAAACTGATGTTTGGTTACATAAAGTCGGACTGCATACGTACACCATTTAATATCTATTTGCCATTATTAAAATATGAGGTACTTTCTTCACATTGAAATTTCATCAGAATGCCCATATAAATGAAAACAACGAGGCATCAGATAAGAATCTACATGTTGCAAAACTGAATAAAAGTGTATTAATTTAAGCATTTTAGACTAACATAGAAAGAAAATGTGAATATTAAAATATAATACTTATTTTAATGTCAACTCAAGAAAATCAAGCCCCTTCTTGTCATAGTCCTGCTAATAGAATATGATAAACAAGATCAATAAGGAAAGGCGGCGTTCAATGAACGCAACGCCCACACGACCCAGGAACAAGAACCAGCGGCAAGGAGCCCAGGAGGACCCCAAACAAACAACCCTACCTATAGTGTATGCTTCTTAAATTTACCTATATTTATATGCTTTATGTTGCTAAATATCAGCATTAAAATGGCAAATTTACATGAAAGTTGCAGACTCGATTTGATCGAGTCTGTACATGAGGGATAATGACAAGTGCAACATCCCTCACATCCCCTAGCACCGGCTTGAGCGGTACTCAATTCTCAACATTTAAAAGTGCTGGACTTAATGATCCCAAGGGCCAGAAAAATATGAAAACACTGAAGTGAAGTGCGAAAGTAAACCTGTTTTGCACTAATTCAGAGGAAAATTCATTCAATATCTTTTCCGCTTACCTATAATAGAAAATTGTTGCTACAGCTTGAACAAGCACTTTTTGTACAGGTTCTTTAAAAAATATATGACACACATTTACTAAGCTTATAACTAAGGACCTTTACGTATTTTTAAAAAATGATCTTTAATAGCAGACACTATTTATTTCATATTAGTAATAAATCTTCTTTCAAACAAGTCGTCTAGTGATTAGAAATGCAAACGATATTGCAAGCAACAGTACAGTGACCTCGCAAGAAACCGGACGACTTTATTTTCAGATTATGCAAGTAACCATATAGTGAGAAAACCTAAACGATGGCAATTTCAGTGTCAATATTTTCTTAACTATGAAAATTTTCTCATTTTCTGTTACCTAGAGAGTTATTTTTTAACCTTTTACTTCATATAGACGTGTCTAAACGGCTTTTCGCCCCCGACTTTTTGGGGACTCAAACAGTGAAAAAATGCCTTATTTAGGCCGTAAACACTGTTTTTCGTTTGAGATATGTTATAAAAAAGTTATCACTTTTTCGGCGCTGTACCTATCAAAAAGATACATCAAGGGGTTGCCAGAAGAGGGATGTACCCCCTTCTGTTTGGTCGCCAAGAAAATTTTAGAATGTGGCAGGCTAAAAATGGTCTCAGGCCGATCTAAAGGTAACGAGCAACAAACGTTGAAAAGTTGTTTACTGTATTTCAATCCATTCAGAAGTTGCTTTTCAATGAAACCGGCCATATTTCACAATATGCTCATGCGGTAAAACGTTAAAGAGTCAAAAGGGTTTGCACAAAAATTAGATGTATACCTTCAAAAGTGTTGCTTGAAGTCGACTTGAGAAATCAAAGTGAGTATGCGCTTTGTTTTAAAAGATATAGGTTTTGCCACAAGAAACATACCGGGAAAATCTGTTTCATGTAGGACCCAGATTTCTTAAATTTTCGGTCTTAATTGAACTATTTTACTACGGAAGTATATTAAGGCCGTTTTGAGTTAGAAGTTAGAAGGCCAAAATTCGAACTTAGATGTTAGATCTTAGATCTTATGTCTTAGTTCTTAGAACTTAGAGGTTCCGTAAAGGCAGAAACGCCATATTAACTGCAAGAAGATGTAAGTGAGAAAAACTTTTATTATGCTTCTTTAATTATAGTTTTTAATTTAAATAATTGCAGAGCTATAGATAGTACGTTTAAAGATTAAGTGATTATAAATTATATACATGTATAAGGGCCAACAAAACAATCAAATTCATTAGGAGGCAAAGATCGACCAAGCTATTTTCAACAGGCTGGGCAAAACTCCATTAGAGGCTATTTTAGCCAGTTCTAGCTATTTAAACCCGAACCTGGCTAGCAAATAAATCTACGATGAGGGACACAAGCGTCGAAACTGATATCTGTTGCCTGTATTTGTGTTATTCCCCAATTATCAAATTTGAAACAATATTTAAAATTGTGTATCTGTAAGTTTTATAATAATTAAAAAAATCCGGTTTTTTTTCTAATGTGTATTAAAATAATTTGATTATTTTTCTTATTGCAGAATAGTCTTCATCACTTTTCCGGACGACGAAAATGGTCTCTGAATAGGCATGGAGGTTTGGAATTTGGCTGTTTGTTATTACACCAGTAACAAGTGTATCACAGATTGAGCTGTCATTCACAGAGTGGTGAATTAACAAGACTAGAACTGATTAACTTTGTGTGGCATGTAAATGGTTACGACAAGTTAAAGCTGTGTTAACTGTGCATTCACGGAGATATCTGTACAGTAGACTCATTTTATGGCTCGAAATATCAAACAGCGACAACTCATCCGCAGTGATAGCGTCATATTATCCAGACACATTAAACAAAATAGAAATTGTCCCTAGGCTCCTTCCTAGGAACTGAAAATTCAATGCTAGCATTGCTTCGCTCATTTTTCAGATATATGGCACAGAAAGCGTATCAGGGTTGAAAAGTTCTTTGTATGGAAAGAGTGTTACAAATCAGCGTTTAGAACCCTGGTAGGGAATTTTACTTCGAAGACAAGGTTGCACTGGTGACAAAGGGGCATAATTCTGCACAAATGATTGATGTTGTGACCTGCTATTGGCTACGCATTGGGGCCACCAGTACATTCACAAAGAGTCGCATTACTGAATAGGCATTATATAATTTTACAATGGAAGTATATGGTTTTCACATTGAAAGGATACCGAATGATGGCTTATCAAGCAATTGTTGTATAAATAGCTACAAAACTACATGTTAAGCGTGCAATAAATAATGAAAAAATCCATAGCGATTTTATAAAAACCACATGCCATTATTGTGACTATAGTTGCGTGTTCTTTTAAATTTCAGTGATAAGGCAAATCACATTTATCAAAAGTATTTTTGGTTATGCAGTACGTTTATTTATTGTTTTCTTTTGTGTGTCGGCCTTTTGATCAAAGATGTGTCAGCATCAGAGAAACCATATCAACTGGTTTTACGCGATACATCAGTACTTGAGCCTGCCTTTCAGACTAGTTAGGACCTGTGTTTAAATGCGCGGGCCAATAGGTATAACTTAGACATAAGAACTTAGTTATTAGAACTAAGTTATTAGAACTTAGTTATTAGAACTTAGTTATAAGAACGTATGCTGATAGGGAAATGAGAGTTCTGCAGCATGAGGGATGAGGGATCGAGCTATATCTAGACTTCGGGGATCCAGTTGGATCCGGATATTTCATCGGAATTTCCGTTTTTTTAGAAAGTTAAACCAGAACGATGAACTTAGAACTTTGATTAATGTGTCAAGGTAGTATGAGGCTATCAATGTGGATGAGTTGTTGCTGTTTCATACTTCGAGACATGAAATGCGTCGACTGCAACTCTTAAAAACAAAATATAAAATTAAAGAAATATAATTAAAAGTTTACCTCACATACATCTTTATGACTATCTTGCAGTAAATATGGCGTTTTCCCGTCCTTACGGAACCTCTAGTTCTAAGACCTAAGTTATAAGATCTAAGATCTAAGTTCAAATTGTTGCCTTCTAACTCAAAACGGACTCAATGGGCTACCGTACTTTAACTTTATTTCAGTCGAATTCCGCGTAAAACTCGCTCGCAGGCGGAAGTTATAGCGGACACTGGAGTGTACGCTGTGATAATCATAAATACTTTTATCTATAAAACAAAACATTGTTTGTCAAAATACTATCTTCATTGAAATCAGTCTTTTGTCGGAGTATAAATTACACAAAATGCGCAGGCTGTACAATTGTTTCTATCCATTTCAAAAGACTTCAACTAACCATGCATCGATAAATATACATATTTGAAGATTTTTTAAGAAATTCAGGTAAAATTACAGATCTTTGTTATTGTACAGGATGAAAAATTCAACGAAATTTGAATTCTTTTTCCTTATTCTTATTATATTTTGTTTTAATTGTTTTTGTTTTAAACATTAATAAAAATCATTTTTAATTTGTTCCCCGCCCCTTTACGGAAGAGATATGTTCCAAAAGCGCCAACAAATTCTGTTCGATATTCTTAATTTTCTGAAGCTCCACACACACACGCACGCACGCACGCACGCATATTCATAAGATAATTGACTTGATATTTTATCTCTGATGCCTGGTCCAATGCCGAACATTTGGCTAAGTTATTAAATCCCTTAATACATGTAAAAGCGTTGCTCTGAACATAATCTGGACATTACATTTTCTCTAGTGACCATATATTGAACTTTATTATACCGGTAACACTCAATTAAATCTTCTTGAGCATTTGTGATGTACAATTCTAATTGACATTTGACCTTTATGTGTTGTCTTATGCTAAGGGAACATGATTTTTGAGCATTACATCCCAGCTTACTTTTTGAACATTTTTGGCAAGTTTTATCATCATTCCTCAAAACACTTAGAAGGTGTTACACTATGAACAGACGTTTTCGCCTGACCTCTAAATATGACCCCGACCGTTGCAATAGAGACCTGGTTCATGTACACAACGTACAATACGACTTCGGACTTATGATGCTAAATGTTTGTTTAAATTAATTCTAAACTCATTTTGTGCATGTATATAGTATGCCCCTACAAATCTGGACATTTTATAACAGTAACCATAACGTTTCATGTATTGGCCTGGTTAAAACTGGTAACTCTTAGTCTCGTGATTGATTACATGTGTGATACAATCCCTCAATTGTATAAGCAAATTGTGACATTTTACTAGTTTGCATAACATTGACTTCCATTTTGCGTCCGACAGCCAGATTTTCAATTTTGAATATTTCTTTCAAGTAGTTTTGGAAGTCCTTTTTACATGCAAAATTTTTGCTCGGGGCATGCGTTCTTTTTTGACATTTTATATTTTACCTGAAGGGGCGTTCGTTGTCGCGTGATTTAATTTGTAATCGTTAGAGTATATGAAACGAGTGATTACGAGTGGGGCGAAATCGAAGAATGTTTGAGCTTAGCAATTTTTTTGCAGGAGCATCCCAGTAAATTTCAATGTGTCACGTGAGCTGCTGATTGTATTTCATATAAAATTGAAAACAATATTGGCAAAATATTAACTTATTTTGCCTTTTATTTTTACATTTAACAATTACATAATAGCATAATGCCACTGTAAGTTACATAACCAGAGCTTACATTTATATTTCTTATCAATACATTGATCAGACAAGGATTTTACACAGTGTTACTTTGACCTTTGATCTAATGACCTGAAGATCAATAAAGGTCATTAAATGGCCTTGAACAGAGTCTCTACATATTTATATAAACTATAGCTTAATCCTTAAATTGATCGGACCAGTAGAACAGGACGAACTTACGTACGGGAGGACGATCAGAAGGACCAGCCCATCACAGTAACCTATGTACCCCGCGTTTTAAGTGGGTGCATGAAAATCAACAATGTTTTGAATAAATGTAATATTGTCCTTGTCATATAAGAATAGGTAACATAGTGCAGAATAGCTTATCATAGAGCAGATTACCTCATTCATCGTTCAGTTCAAACAAACACGTCCGGGACTTTTAAAGAATGATACTTAAAAATATAGAGCTGGTTTCCTTTCTAGTAATGTAATCAGTTTAATACCAGTTTGGTCTAGATCTTCAAAAAATAAGATAAAATATCCAGATTTTTTCCGAAATAGTTACAATTTTGTATACATGCAGAAATCAATTGTATAGTGATTTAGTTCAATTTTATCAATTCCTTAATACGTTGAATAGAAATGAATTTAGTTTCGACACTTTTCACATGTGTTTTTTAGAATATTTTAAAATTATTTATGCTTAATTCAAAATAAAATAAATGTTTACCTCCATTGTAAAACAACTTCCTCTTTATGTTTTCTAATGGTTCGTACGTCATATAGGTTTAACATGTCTAAATGACAAGCTGAAGACATTTTGTACTTTCTTTCTAAACCATGATAACCACAGGTGCTCGTTCAGTATTGGCAGTGGCGTACTTACCGATACGCCGATACGCACGGGCGTATATAAAGAAAAAGAGTCACGAAAAAAAGATTTAAAAAATGAAATCAATGATTTTGGCGTAGATCGATCAACATATTCGTAGCAGCTAATTGATTCTATATGTATGCTTAGGATGTTACCGAGTATACAATCAAAATTCAATTATAATAAAAGGGAGTAAGCTCATATATGAGCAAATTAAAATTAACATGAAGTATCTTTAAAAAGATACTCGGCCGAAGTCAAACTTGTGAACTTGCATAGGATAAGCTACTACTAACCATGCTAACCGCAAACAGAACATTTTATTCGTCCTCAATAGTTTTATTTCAGTTCATTTTTACCCGCAATGTTTTCTCCATTAATTGTCATCTTAGATTTAAACAATATAACTTACATTATTTGATTTTAATCAAAATGGAATTTGATTTGAATAGGAATTTATAACAAAACAAAAATTTAGTAGATACCATACACTAATTCCACGGAGAATTTTGCAACTGTAAATTAGTCGAAAGTTCGTTTCAATCGTCTTATGCCCGGTTCAAGAAGTGAACAGCTTAGAAAGAGAAACCCAATCGCACGCAAATGTATCAAAAAGGCGATCTGTCATATTTAATTTAATATATTTATTGAAAAACTGTTAGAAACACCTAAAAAATATCATTATTGTGTTTTTATATTTATTCTGACTTATATCTTTTCCCAACACTTCTTGACATCGCTCAATCGAACAGACTTCTACCTATAACGGAAGCACTTCTAAAGTATCAATCGAACAGGCTATTTGTGTTAAAATGACCAATGAAAATTCTGCCTATATTCATTTCTTTACTGTTAATTTTAGCAGATGTCAATGTGAAATCAGACAGTCTTCGGCCGAAAAACATTACTTAGGTATATCACTGGGAAGCCATTTTTTAGAGAGAATTATTCTATTGTTCAAGATGGCGAGCCTGTTTATACCAACATCATGTGCGCGAAGCATTTAACTTCATAATAAAATAACTTAAATATTTCGAATGGAAATTGAAAGACTACAGTTGAGAACAAAAATGTTAAAGACAATATTTATTGTCTACAACATTGACATAAAACGCATTTAAAAATATTTTAAGGAAGCTAAATGATCGTGCGGTACTACATTTTAGCTGAAAATACAATAACTTCCCAGTACACTAAAACATACTTGTGTTTGTATTTAAGTCATACAAATCATTTTAAAGCACATTTTCCTTGATTATATCTCATGTTAAGTTATGGTGAAACAAAAGAAAAATAAAGAAAAAACTAAACTTGTTACAAAAAAGGAATTAAATCGCATCTTTATTACAAGATAGACATCTGGCCATGTTTTGTTTTTCTAATAGTAAATAGTTTGTACTATTTAAAACAGGGTACACGTTAGACTTGGTGCAATTTCTCTAACATTTAATATATGAAACTGATGTTATATATAACTATAGAAACAAATATAACAAACAAACTTAACACCTTTTATGTGTTAAATGAAAGAAAAAAAAGGTTTTGATTTTTTAATTTTTTTATATGCCTGAAAGAATTTCGGGCATAATATTATTATGTTATATCCTCTGGCGTCCGTTCGTCTGTCTGTCCGTACGAACTCAAGTGACATTTTTGGATGAATATCCATGTTCATTCCGTACAGACGGTACTTGTGGGGAAAAATGTTGCTTATGGGGTGCAAAAACGTTGCTTATGGGGTTTTAGAGATCAAAGGAGATCAAAGTAAAAAACCCATAATGTCAACTTAGTAGGAACGTCCGTCTGTTAGCAATTTGGTTTTCGGAGCATAACTTAAGTTCCATTTGCCCCACAATATTCAAACTTCATAGGATGGTTGTCCATATTGGGTAGAAGACCCATATTGATTTTGAAGTCACAATGTCAAAGATCAAGGTCACTATTACCTTTAAACTGAAAACAGTTTCTGGAGCATAACTTTAGTTGCATTTGCTCCACAATATTCAAATTTCATAGGATGATTGTCCATATTGGACAGTAGACCCCTATTGATTTTAGGGTCACAAGATCAAAGTCACTATAACCTTAAAACTGAAAACCGTTTTCGCTCAATTAATTAAGTATTAATCAATCTACAGCTGTAAAATTTTAAATGATGAACAGCCAAGTCCAATACATAACCCCTATTGATTTTAGGGTCATAAGGTCAAAGGTCGGGGTCACAATGATCTTTACACTGAAAAATGTGGTTTCTGGGGCATAACTTAAGTTTCATTTGGTCCACAGTTTTTAAACTAATTAGAATGAGTGTCAATATTAGGTAGAAGATCTCTATTGATTTTGGGCTCACAAGGTCAAGGTCACTATAACCTTAAAACTGAAAAAGGTTTTTGCTCAATAACTTAAGAATTAATCAAACTACAGCTGTAACATTTAATAGGATGAACAGCCATGTCCAATACATGACACCTATTGCTTTAAGGGTCATAAGATCAAAGGTCAGGGTCACAATGACCTTAACACTAAAGATTGCGCTTGCTGGAGCATAACACATTTGGCTTACAGTGTTCAAACTTCATAGTATGATTGCCTATATTGAATAAAAGATCAATATCTATATTGGGGTCACAAGGTCAAAATCAAATGACCTTAATATTGTTAACAGTTTTACATCTGTCAAACTTCATAGGATGAGTTCATATATTGAGTACATTTATTATATGCCCTAAAAAATTTGCTTATATAATGTTGAACCCCTGGCGTCTTTCCGTCGATCCGACGTAGCATTTTTACTTACAAGATAACAACTTAATGGTGGTGCTTATATATATATATATTTATGTGTGTGAAGGTTCTTCAGCTATAAAGGAGATTGCTTTTTGAGAGAGGTTATACTTATTTAATTCTCATGTTTTACAAAATGCTTCATCTTTCCTAAAAAACACTTTCGGGCATATAATGCTCCGCCTAACGGTGCTCTTGTTTTTACTTTCATTTATCTCAGAAAAGTTTGTTGTTTGGAGGAGAGTGTATGGTGGGTGTTAAAAACAAAATAAAAAAGATAAAAGGAAAAAAACGGAGGAAGAAAGAACAATAGAAAAAGGGTCAATATTTAAGCGTTTATTTTAGTTATGTTATCAAGATACAAGTCGAATGCACAAGAAACTTGTATCCGTCAAACAGGTCAATGTCAATCTACAGGTAGATCCTTTTTAAGAAAGACAAATCATGAAAACTAAAATAAAACAATTCAAAAAATAATTACAAAAGTTAAATAACACGTAATATCAATATTTTCGACATATAAATACAGCACTATAATTTCAAAGCATTTATCCAACAACTCCCGCAGCAGACGCACCGTTTCCCGCTGAAGATCCCGAAGACTTGAGTTTTGCTACTTCTGCTTTAATATCAGCAAGAAGCTGAACATCACTTGAAGGATCAACTGATGACGCATATCTATAAATAGGTCTGCCGTCTGGACCAATCAGAAACTTTTCATAGTTCCACCTGACATCCTCAGTGTAGACAGGGATGTACAGGATTGGCGTGTACATCTTACGGGTCACCGTCGGACAAAGAGACTGAAAGTAGTTTTCCAAAAAATACACTGTTATGAAACAATTAGAAAAGGTGGTAAGTTAACAAGTAACTAAACTTCACGGATACACGTCTTGTTTTGCATCCGACTCTATTAAACAAAATGGCCTGTTTGAACACATACTTCCAAAACATTTGCAAAAAACACATTAGTTATGTTGGGCCAAGTTGATGCAGATGTACATGTAACTACAGCACTCTTTCAATGATATAACCTAATAATAATGGTGATAATAATAGTAATAATCATAATAACTTTATTAAAAGATGTAGATGATTAGTTATAACAAAATACCTTAAGATATGTGAACATCTTGTGTTCATTAAATCCATTAATATCAACTTTCTGTGTGAGTGGAAAGTTTGGAACGAACCCGTTGCCGGGACGGACGTATTTCAGTCCATTCATCAGCTCCACGCCGTTCCACGATGGCTCTTGCTGCAAATAGAAGAACAAATTTAATGACATACGTAATACATATCATGAGTAATATAGTACTATAATACTTTTACTATGGGACAAAGTTGGAGAAAAATGGGGGATGTTTAGAAAGAACTTTAAAACAGGTCTTATGTTACAATTTAATATAATAATTATCAGACTTAATTCAATGAAAGAAAATTAAAAAAAAAAAACGAATAACATGAATGACTTACCATGTTAAACTGGTTACAAGGTACACCAAGAGCCTGGAAACCTTCAGCACCATGGGTAGACTGTAGTGCATTCAGTCCATGGTACTGAAAAACGTACCCTCAGTAGGTAGCCACGTTGACAATCAACGTTACTTTCCCACGAAGAGACGTCAGATCAATTGATTCATTCCCGTGAACATTATTTATAGCAAAATCAAAAATAGTGCCGTTACTTAAAGAAGGATCACATGTGCTTCTTGGCGGCGTGTCCATTGCGCCAACAAACACTGTCGTGAGCGAGAGTAGGGCGCTTATTACGCCCCCTCCCATCATTTTTATTGAATGTCAGAAAACAAATGACTGACAATTAGATCAAGAACAAGTTATATGGTGAAATTTTATCTTATCATTTCAATGAAGATATAAACCCTACATATTTCAAAATAGTCATGACATCTTTAGACATGACCTTTTTAATAGTTAGGCATTTTATAATTCCATTGTTTATTACCATGTCAGGTGAGTTTACAGTAGGCCGACCAGATACTGCCTAGAATTGACAAGATTGACGTCCATATAACAAGTTTCAGTATATGCCATTATTCGAACCAATTATAAATGTGTTTGTATTTGTAAACTGTTTCATTTTTG